GAACAGATACTACACTTGATCTTAGCCAAAAGGCCGAGAAGCGATACCTAACTCAGTCCACACTCCAGCTTCACTAACATGCACACGCACTTCAACGTCACGGCTACAAACATGCTCGCATTGATAAACACGAGTCTGACACCGACTCTTTTGTTCTATCGTGTTCACGACGTTTACCCTATAAAAAGCCGATGAGATCCAAGGACGGCGAGATTTTTTCCCCTGCACTTTTGGTTCCCAGAGGAGACTGGGCCACATCTTCATTTGCATGCCCCGCCTAGCGCATTTTTGGTCCCCGCGCGCAGCGGAGTGCTTTCAGATGGCTGAGTGACTTAAAGCGATTCTCCCAGGTTTTTCTTCGCAATTTCCAGACACAAACTTGCCAACACCCACCACAAAAATGTTCTGTTTCTCACCCACACACTCCTCCTGTTATATCCAGCCCAATTTTCATCGCATCTGTCTCTGAGGTGACACCCATCCATGACTGAGCACAGGGGGCTGGTACTCTCCCTGAGTGTGGACCCGGGGAGACTCGTTCTGATCTGCTCCAAGGGTGGATTGAGCCTTGGAAGATGGGCCCTTGGGATTTCAGCTCTTTTGCTGTAACTATTGCTCTGGTGCACCCCACCCTTCACCCCGCTCCAACTGCCACCCTATCGTTGATTCCTTTCCTTGTAAGTCTTGTTTTCACATGCAGTCTGTAGCCTATGCAGCACAGACTGCTCTGGAATTTTCAGTGATCCTCCCCTTCTCAGTCTTGCCCAATAGCCAGGTTCCTTTCTTTCGTAATTTGAGACAGAGTCTGTGTAGCCATTGCTATTCCAGAACTTGGAATGTCCATCAGGCAGCGATCCGCATGGCCCTGACACCCTAAGTGCAGATCACTACACCCAGCACAGTTCCTTTCTTTTTAAAACAAATCAAAATTCACTTTGGGTTGGGTTTTATGGTGAAGACCTGTAATCAACTCCATAGGCTGGTCCATAGGAGGATCCAGTGTCCCATGCTACTCCATGAAAGAATATGCCCAAGGGATTAAAAATGTGTATTGCCACCCCAGCTGGCTATTTTTAAATTTTGAGATTCAGTTTTAAAGATAGCTTGGGTGTGGAGAAAGGGAAAGTCTCTTAGAGGATACAACAAGATCTAATTGTGAGCATTTTGTCAGACTAAACAACACGGTGGTCTTCTTTTCCTTTCCCCCACAGCCTCCAGAAAGGTCACATCATTTCAGGACATTGCTCAGCCCTCGTGGTTAATTTCCTTTTCTCTTGCTTTCAGGGACCCCTGGTACACTTTTCCTCTCCCACTGGTCAGTTTCTTCCAGAAACATAGGCCCCTTCTGATACCAGTTTGAAAGGTTTCTCCTTGGGATTTGGGTCAAGATCATCAGTCCTGATTTTAGTCAGGTAGTGATCACCAGTGAATGCCATCAAGAGTTCATGACCTCTTGTCTTCTCCCCACTCAGAAGATGCCACACGGCAAGCCTGTGAGCGCCTCCCAGTAGCCTGTGTGTGATCCTTAGCTCTCTGTCACAGTAGCAAGTCTCTGAGATTGTGAGTATAGAGGAGGGCAGTTGTGTAGGCCTGCAGCTTTGGAGGTTCCTGTCTGTGACCAAAGGACCCTGGTGCTTCTGGAGGCAGGCACATGGGGCAGTGAGTCTGGGGAAGATCAAGGCTCTCCATCTCATGGTCCAGGGTGAGGAGATGAAGAGCCCAGAGCCCCCTAAGTCCCTTCAAGATCTTGTGAGACCACACAACAAGCTCTTTACATTAGTATGGGATTTTCCTGAGAGTCATTAGGAACATCCCCTAATGATTTTACACTCCCAATTAGTATCACTGTGAGTATGACTGACTGGGCAGGGGGGGGGGAGGGCAGTTCCCAGTCAGCACCAGAGTATGAAATAAATGCAGCGAATGCGTAGGAAAAGTTCTTATCTATCTAAAGGTTAGACATTTTCTATCTGAAGGGAAAAATGAGAAAACACAGACACTTTCTGATGGTAGTTTTTTCTTTACTCCATCTTGAAAAAAAAATCCTCTCTGAAAAGTCTCTCGTCGCAGCTCCCTCATTAGTTCTGCAACCCTTCTCATTGCTCGACTCAGCAGATCCTCTGAATAACTCTACGCCTCCCCACATCTCTCTCTCTACACCCTTCCTCTGCTCTCTCTCACAGCCACAGTACACACAATTCTTCTACACTACACACTCACTCACTCTCTCACACTTGCTCATGCTTCTTCTGCATCTCTCTCTCTCTCTCTCTCTCTCTCTCTCTCTCTCACACACACACACACACACACTTCATTCCATTCTGCACAGCTCTTACATAGCCCTACACAACTTCCTTGTCTTCACCGTCACTGCTTCTGTCATGGTCAAACTCTGGGTAATTATATGTTACATTTTCAGGGCCTGACCCATTCTCATAACACAAGAGAACTCACATGGTTTCTCTTAGGCTACCAATGTCACATTGACTGGCCACTAAGCAATGCTTGGCTACCCAAGTAGCTCTAAGTTGATGAGGGTTCCCAGACAGCAAACACTTGCCTGAACCTTGCTTAAGACTGAGTGTGGGACTGAGTGCAAAAGTCGATTACTGCAGGCAAGTTATGTCTCTTAAGGTTGCTTCTATCCTGACCTTGAATCAACAACGAGCAACACCTGGGAAAAATGAACTTGTGTATTTGTCTCCAAGGGCAACATGCCTCCTTTGAATTTGTTCTGGAGTCTGAAATTAGCTGGCTGTGTAAAAGGCTGTCTTTGTGATGGAGAATCTTATGTGAGTCTGAGTAATGTAGAATATCCTAGTATTATTTCTATTCATCAGAATTATACAGTTAAGCTGAAATCATCTTCCTGATCACCCTCAGCTATGTGTGCCCATATAGCTGAAACGTATTCATGAGATAAACCCACAAGCAGTAGGAATATACCCAACGTTGCTCTTAAGGAAGAAATGAGGTGGCTCATGAGAGAAATTACAGACAGAGAAAGTTGTCCACAGCCAGAGACCTTATAATCTTTCCATTTGGTGGATCAGCTTACTGAATGCAAGCTGTCACCTGCTGTATACCCCCATGGCCTTCTACATGTGAGGACCAGGCTTTTATGAAGTGGAAGTCTGAGTGATGCTCAAGATGCAAACTATAGCAGTCTATCCCAGGTCTCAAAAGTTGGTGTCATCTCCCAGAGAAAAACACATTTAAAACAGCACCAAGAGCCTTGAAGTCTCAACTGCTTCTGCCTCCCACCTGGGGCATAGATCCTTCTCCCCCTTGGATAGTTAATCAAGAACACCTCTTCTTGTATTACAGTTTAGGGCCCTTATGGGGTTCCCTTTCTCTGCCAGTTAAAGAACCAAAGGCAGGGAAAATATGGAGCAGCACAGCCACCCAGTGACTGAAGGTGCCTGTATCTGATTCCATCATCTCCCCAGCTCAGCTTCCTTCACCAACCTCCCATATCCTGATTATAAGTGCTCTTCCAACAAACAATAAATATTTTATCAATGTTCTCACTGCTGTTTGTTCATTTTCATTGTTGCTTTTCAAGTACAGAGAATTGTAGGACCCTCAAATGTTAATTTTGCAATTTACATCAGACCTAGGAATCTACAACGTAATTAAGGCCTGGCTTCTTTTAGGAAAAGAGTCAGATTTAAGTAGATGTAATATGTTATATAGCAGTTAGTTGGAGGTCTTCCTTATATTCAACTTAAAATGGACTTTTTTCAGGAGAGGTAAATTCTAAATGAAATAAAATATACACAGACATTAAAAAGACCAAAAATATGTTAACTTATTTTGACTCTAGATGTATGAGTGTTTGTCTGCATGTATCTATATGGATGGCACACATGCCTCAGGCTCTCTCAGGACAGAAGAGTGTAATGGGTCCCCTTGGAACTGGAATTACAGATGGTTATGAGTCACCAGGTGGGTGCTGGGAATAGAACTCAGGTTCTCTGCAAGAGCAGCCTGTGCTTTTAACTTTTGAGACATCACTTCAGGCCTTAAAATGGATCTTTAAAAACATTAGCAGTGCTGCTGGGCGGTCTTTAATCCCAGCACTCAGGAATCAGAGGCAGGTGGATCTCTGTGACACCAGACTAGTCTACAAGAGCTAGTTCCAGGAGAGCCTCCAAAACCACAGAGAACCCCTGTCTTGAAAAACCAAAAAATAAATAAGATAAAATAAGATATAAAACAAGCAGTGCATAAATGTGTCTATTTGTGTGTAGATGTTGGGGTAGATGTTCATGGTACCACAGCACCATGTGGAGGTCAGAGGACAATTACAGGAGTCAGTCTTCTTTCCAGCAGCTAGATTCCTGGATTGAGGCTCAGGTCCCCAGGCAAGGTGGCAGATCCAATGAGCCATCTCACTGCCTCCCATGCCACTCACTTGTTGAGGTTTTTCCAATTTGCCTGCAAGCCTGACCTTTCAGTAGAGCGTGTCATCAGGGCTACTTTCCCAGTCCAATTCTCTTCCCTACACAATCAGAGCCATTCTTTACTTGATTTCCTGCTTCCCATTTTTCTAGATTGACCCAGCCCCCATCCTGTCTATCAAGGAAGCTGTCATTAGACAGATGCTTTAACCAAATTCTCTGTGAATGAACCTCCCAAAAGTTCCCACAGCTTTGGCAGTCCACGAATTCCCTGACCTACTCTCATGAGCTCACCCTAGATCTTGTCTTGTCTCCAAATGTTTCTAATGCATCTCACTCAGACCCAGGTTTGCATTGGGTGGTGGCAGAGAGCTAGCATGTCCTCTAGGACTGTTGCTTGCACAGGGTGTCTCAAGGATAGTGTACATGCTGCCATACTAACATGTCTTCTTACTTCCTTGGTCTGCAAAGGTCTGAACCACGATACCAAATAATCGAAACATCTAAAACCTAGAATTAAAAATAAATAAATAAAACCTAGAATTAATATTCTGGAAAAATAATAAGAATTATTTTAAAGACATTGGAGATGTTTTGAAATGATCATTTATTTTAGAAAAAGATGGCAGAATATTTTGTGTGCATCCAAATTTTGCTAAGTATAACTTCCCACATATTACAATCAAACTTCATCAAAGAAAGATGCAAAGAGAAGAATTATATTCAGAAAGATCCAGACATAAGAAAAAGTTACATGTAAAATGAAGTAGATTTTAAAAATAAATTGTATTGATAAAAACATAAAACATGGCTTTGGATGACTGGCATCTGTGAGCCACCAGCCCAAAGCCCCTGTCATAGGAGCTCTCATGATGGTCAACCTGCCTTTTGATGAGCTCCATCAAAAGTCAAAACAGGTACCACTACATATATCATAACCCTTAGGGTCCAAGTGTTGAGAAATGTTGTCCTTCACAAATGAAGATGTACAATGAAGACATTGCTTCCTTTATGAAGGAAACACCAACATTTCAAATTAAAGCACAATACACGCATATAAATTCAGTGCTGTAAATACCATAATAGGTGTTAATCTACAGCACAAACAATACTAGAATTCGAATATAAAACATACATCGAACCATAAGAGAACCATAAGAGAATAATATCGAACTCTTAAAGACATAGTATCAAGACTTCAAAAGGGAACAATGTTACAAATGGGAACTTGAGAACATGCCATTACCCCATAGAGAGTATTTGTATGGCCTAGTTCCTGGGATTTGTTGACATTTTGAAGTCTTACACCAACAGATACATTGTTTTTCTTCAAGATAAAATAGACAATTGTATTCGTTTCTATGTGTTTTTTACCTTTTCGGAAACCTCCCATATTTACTGTATGCTTCTGTGAGGAGTCTGTACTTACTTTCCACATACCCTGAGCCTTGCCTCTGCGATTTTGGAAATCACAGATGTAACAGCAATAACACAGGCAGCAGAGCAGCAACACTGTGACAGAACGTTGCCTATAGTGCCTTCATCATCATTTTCTTCACTACTCTAGGAAGAGTGTCTTCCTTGATTAAAGATACCATGAATTTCCTCAGCCAGAATGCAGAATGGGATACATTTTTGTTTTATATTATTTACTTATGTATTTATTTTGAGGCATGGTCTCTTCCTATAGCCCTGGCTTTCCTGGAACTCCCTATGTAGACTAAGAGGACCAGCCTTCCTCCAAGTGATACAATTAAAGGCATAGGTCACATCCCCTTACAGGAACACATTTTTAAAGCACCGTTTGATCATAGTCTTCTTTAACGGCCAATCCCTTTCCCAGAATTTCATTTCTATTTTTGTGAAGTTATTCAAAGACGCATTTCCATATACTTATCCAACGAGAGAACATTATCATAAAGCATGAAATATCATTGCATTATAGTCCATTTCACATGTCAAGAAGTCTCAATCATGATCTAGGACATTCCTCAAAAAGTAAAGTATCTAAGGCTATATGTTTAAAATTTCAAGGTAAACTGATCATTATAGTTTTATGTCGGGACACCGTCTCTACAACCTCAGCAAGAGCTTTCTCTAAGTGCCTTACTGTCTTGGTTGTCAGATAATAGGTTCTAGGGTAACTTATTTTCGAGCTTGAATCATATAGAGACACTGCCCTATGACCCAAGTATACTATCTTTATCACCACACCGACTTTCCCAGTGTAACCGCCAAGATTTACCAGCATCTGCTTTAAAGTTAATGCAGTTTGTTTACAATAGTTCTTTAACTTAGCACCTAATTCATTCAGAACAGTGCTGTCGTCTTCCAGCTCCCCGTCTCCCAGGACAAAGCAATGAAGGGTCAGAAGACTGTCCTGGGAAATATGAAGCAAATCCAAGATGACTTCCTGCTTCTCAGGCAAGCCAGGACCCAGAGTCCAGCTCTTAGAGGTGACCAGCGTTCCTCGACGAAGTGAGGCCAACTCTGTCCAAAGTAACTGCTCGTATCTCCCCTGTTCTGGGCACAGTTCCATGCAGAGGGCTTCTGGAGAGCACGTCACCTTTCGACACACGGCTAGAAAAATAAATAAGTATACCAATTAAAAAACAAAACTGCTGGGAATATCCTGTGTGAGCCATCACCGAGCAGCTAGTAAGTCCCCCACTTTCATCATCACGATACCAAACAATAATAATTCAGGAACAGGAGGGCAGCAGGTGCAAGGGTCCTGGGACTTAGAACTCAGGCTCTGCTAAGAGGGAGCATTGCAAGTGGCTGAACACTCACATCCCACCTTTTCTATAATCGGGGGGGGGGGGGGGGGGGGGGGGGGGGGGGGGGGGGGGGGGGGGGGGGGGGGGGGGGGGGGGGGGGGGGGAGGGGGGGGGCCGGGGGGAGGGGGGGGGGGGGCCCCCCCCCGGCCCCCGGGGGGGGGGGGGGGTGCCTCAGAGGAGACCACAAGGCAGGCCAGGCTTCCCTGGTGAGCAGAGACTGGCAATCACAGTGAAAACCCATAGTTCTAGAAAGCCTTGAGTTTGAATACACACTGTCACCTTCTACCTGTCTGGTTAGCATTGGAGAGGAAGTCTACTTTGCCCTCCTATGTTGGGATGTGGTATGTACTAGTCTGTGTGTGTGCTTGGCTTGGGCAGGGTGGTGTGGGGTGGTTACTATTTGAGAGAAAGTTACTCCAGGGACCTGAAAAAAGTATCACTCCCAGTGAGGAAGCTTGAGGCCTTGAACCCTGGTGGGGCAAGGAGGCTTGAACATAGTCACAGCAGCCACTCTAGAAAGTTACAGTGACACTACCTGGAAGGTGGGCCCTCTGTTGCTGAGCTTCTGGAATGTCATGAACAAACGATCTACTGAGACGGAGTGGTGGGATGCTTGATTGAAGGGTCTGTTTATCTTTTCCCTTGGAGAAACCTGAGAAGACAAAAGTTATTTTAAATTTCCCCCAGGCCGTAGTGTTCAATAACAGTGCAATGTGTGTTAAAAGTCTCAGTTGAACTGTGTTTACCTAAGCGGTAATGGGGTTAGAGTTTGGTGTTAGATTTTTTTGAGGACAAATACAATTTTCAAAATGACGCTTACACTACACTTACAGAAAACGTAACAGCACAAAGTGCACTGGGCTAGTGGAATGTATGGGCAATTCCATGGGCCTGTTTTACTTCCTCATTTTTAAACTAGAGACAGGCATTCACATAGACCATGCTGGACACAAACCACTACTTGGACCTTGGGCCAGTTTTATGATTTTACAGAATGGAGGTGATGGAAGCCAGAACTTCTAGATGCTAGACAAGCACTCTATCACCTCAGAAATGTCCCCAGCTTTGCTTTCTTTCAAAGCAGTTATATCCAGAAGCAAAGAAGGCTGGTGGGTTTGTGCAGAGATGAGGATGCTCTGATTTTCAGATGGTGTAAAGTTTCTGGTGCTTGTTTCAACTAAGGCTTCCTGTTCCAAAGGAGATAAAAGGTCAGCATTTTCCTTTCCTTCAGAGGAAAAAGTATGGTTCCATTTTGAACTGTGAGAGGAAGGAAGAAGCTTTAAGCAGAGGGGCCGATGGGAATAAAGTGGTAAAGGACAAAGGGGCAGATTAGAGGGTGTGGTTTCTGAAGTGCACACTGGTCATCACAGGCACAAAGCAATGGAGAGAGTACATGGTGGGCCAGCACATCCAAATGCCCGACCAAAGGGACATTCCCTTCCCATAACTTGATTTTCTAATGCATTTGTCACTGTTAGTGAAAGATGATTGACACAGAAAGCTGGCAATGAGAAATGGGATCAGTGCAGTGGGTCCTTGGGGGACAGGCTACAGAAGCCATTGCACTAGGAGGGATTTTGACAAACAAGCTAGATGTAGTCTGAGAAGAGGCAAGGACAACTCGATAGGGAACCCTGGGAGGATGAGCAGAAGTTCAGGAAGCAGAGAGGACAGTGTCCACGAAAGGCTCTGCTCGTCAGCCTTCTGATGGACATGGGACTGCCAGGGAGGCCAGGACTGCAGGCCACTTTCAATGTTCTGTGACAAAATGTTGGGCTGCGTTCTGCCCATGGCCTTGTCTTGGCAGAGATCTCAGTTTAAGCCACTGTGAGAGGTGGGAACAGCCTGGAGGGGAATTATGAGGTGGGGGCCCCTTCCTCTTCCCACTCCAATCCTGTCCACTGGAGAAGCAGGCTATATCACAGTTGGCCATTGTGCAGGAAAAAGCTCATAGCATACTGAAAGCGGGTAAGGAGCATTCGATAGCGAATCTCCTGAGTGGGCAGAAGGAAACAGGAGGTTGTCCACTCGGGATTGTATCTGGCAGAAGTCAGTAAATCAGCTGTTGAGACATGAGGAGGTGTGATGTTCCCTAGTCCCACAAATCTTCCAACCCTCTGTCCCAAATGTAAAGTGACTGTTTTGCCCCTTCCTCAACCTGGGGTGGAGTCCATCTGGCGCTTGACCCATTCCTCCGCAGTAAACCCCTTCACACGGCCGCCTTCCACATGCCAGGATTCCGGATCTGCAGTGAACACGGCACAGCAGAATCTCTCCACTCTGAGTGCACAGACATATGAACACACAGCTCCCTGCCTGTGGACTTGGATGAATTTGCATGTGTACTTTATCTTCTCCTGCTCCTCAAAGAAGTGAGCGACAGGCAGCTGTCGGATGCACTCCTCTATTTCACTCTCTAGGTGCACCAGATCATTCTCATTGGCTTCAAAACCAATTACTTCTTGGTTGTCTCCATCCAAACCAAAGAACAAATATCCCCCTTCAGTGTTTGCAAATGCAGAAAAAGGTTGAGGGAGAATCGCTAAAATCTTTTCTTTAATCTTCTTTTAGGGCACATTTTAACTTCAGCATATTTCGACTTAGTGAAACACAAAGTCTCCTTGTAGGTCAACTGTTCCTTGTTAAAAAACATGGCGAGCATTTCACGTTGTAATTCATCACAGCCAAATGATCCAGGCCAACTTAGTCTTGAACCTGACATCCCTTTAGCATATTTCTTTTCTTTGAGGAACTGCACTGCATCAGGAGCTTTCAGTTCATGGGACAATGACAAACTTCTCACATAGAAATTGGTTTTCCAGGTGAGGACACGCTGACCAGACATATCCGGGATCCATTGTTTCACAAAAATTAAAAAGTAGTCTTTGTCCTTCATGTAGTCTAGGTATTTCTGAGAAAGTGGAAGAATGTTACCAAAAGAATTTTCCAAATCCAGTCCCATTCCATCTCTGGTGAAGGAGTAATTGGAATTGCTGATGTGAGCCTTGACCACGCCCCCCCAGAATTCACCAGAGTGCACACAGCCTCTGAGACACTTTGGGCCTCTCTTTTCCTTAGTTGAGTATCTTTCATTTTCTTCCTATACATCTCTCCAAGTGTGATTTCTCCCACAGAGAGAACCAGTTCTGCATAGTCTGTCTCCTGATCAAGGCTGATGCTCATTTTGCTAGCACTTGCTTTGTTTCCCAGACGACATTGTTTCCTGTAAAAGAGACAGAAATCCATTACAGTAGACCTAAGCAGTGAGAGCCAGCTCTGCTTTACAAGACACAGCGCAACAGTCTGAGCTGCTCTGGGCAATTAAGCGTGAAGGTCTGAAGTGATGTCTTGTTTAGGAACTGTTGGGTCAATTCTGAATACAATAACTAGTAAGCTTGCACAATTTTCAGATTCATTGTTAAGATTGTATTTGATCATCTTCTAATATTTTGAACTAATAAACTTCTTTATGTATATTCATCATTCATGGCACTGTGTTATAGAAGGGACATATAAAATTGTGTAGTTTTGTTTGTTTTATTACTTTATGTGTATGAGCGTTTTGCCTGCATGTATGTATGTGTACCACAGGTATGCCTGGTGGTCATGGAGGTCAGAAGAGGGTGTTGAATTCCTCAGCTGGAGTTACTGGTGGTTGTGAACCACTGAGTAAGTGCTGGGAATCTGACCCAACCCTCTGCAAGGGTGACAACTTCTCCTCAGCACTTACCCAACTCTCCAACCTCTGCAGAAAGACACCAGAAGTGTGTGCTGCGCACTAAGCACATTCTGCTGTCTGACCTCTCTGTGATGTCCCCTTCCCATCTGTCCCCTATGTCCCCTTATACCGCTTCGCCACTTCTTTCATGTCTTATACATGCGCACGGTTTTAAGGCTGTGTAATAAATCTATAAACTCTAGGGAACCACTGAGTGGAAATATCTGAGGTTTGTCTTTCTGGAACTGGCTGGATTCAATGAGTGTGAGCATGTTCCGTGCTCTCCATCCTCCACAGTGGTGGGGATGGCACTCAAGGCTTGCGTTTGTTAGGTAGCTTTCTCCAGGAGGCACACCTCAGCCCTCTTTGTCCTTTAATGTAGGTGTTCCCCACCCTAAGTCTCCCCTCCTGGTGTGGCTTCTATGTTTAGTGGGTTTTTTTTTTTTTGTTTGTTTGTTTGTTTTGGCTCTTCATTTTCTCGGGACAGTTTTTTCTAATCATGTGAAATCTTATTTGTGCCCTTGTTTTGGAGCGCTTTGTTCCTGCTTAGGACCCTCTGTGCTTCTGACTTTCCCTCTGGGCAGCTTCCTAACTCCTTCCCATATGACAGTCAGTTAGTTCACATACTTTGGTTCCATCAGACGTCCTGGTTTGGCATGCTGTGTGCCCTGGAGAATGTCCCCTGAACACTCGAGTTGACCAGACCACTCTGTGAACATCTGTGGGTTCCCATCTTCTCCCAACATTGGGGAGTTTTCAGACATGATTTCTTCAAAGAACTTCTCAATTCCTTTGTGACCTCAGGTTCTGGGGACAAACACAATCACCACGTTAGCCTTCCTGATAGTGAGCCACATAATGTTGGGCTTTGTGTGGCTTGTTTTACATTTTTCAGTTCTTTGTTTCAGGATATTTGATCACACTGTCAAACCCAAGACCGCTTTATTTATTTGTTGGAAAACCCTGTTCCTAGTTTGGTGTGGCTCAGCCCTAGCACACACCTTTGCTCAAAGAGCTTTCTACTTGAATATTGTAGACTGGTTTAAACAAAGCCGACCATAGGTGAGGAGGCAGAGCAAGCAACTATTTAACAGGAAAAAACAACAACAACAACAACAAAAACCATAGAGACTAAGAGGGAGTCAGGAGGACAGAGAAAGAGACACCCGGGAAGTAGAAGGCTGGGACACTCATTAGGAGGAGTTTTGTCTGAGGCAGTGTAGGGGAAAGCAGGCTCTCACCCGAGCATCTGACTCCCGAGTCTTTGTCGGTAAAATCAAAGAATTGACATTTAGTTTAAAACAGCTTTTCCTATCATTTCCCCTGGCTTAGTGGTTTTATTCATCTTTCTTCAGTTTACAGATTTTTTTTCTGTCTACTCACTCTGCTATTGGTCCTTTCCAAATATTAATACCAATTGATAAGAAAGAGGCTCATGTGAAAGGAAAAACATCACTACACAACAAATCAATTTTCTCAGTTTCATTTTCTGTGGGAGGTTGTTTTGAACTGCAGCTGACTTTGCTGTTCTGACACTAGAGGGCACTCACATGCAGAAGGACTGCAAAGACAAGGCCTTGTACAAGAGGAGCTGTAGGGATGTAAGAGGGTAAGATGGGGCATGTCAGTGTCTTGGCCAATACCAAGTAAATGCAACTTCTCATGCCTGTGCGCTGTTGTGGGGTAACCCCCACTGAACTCATTTGATTCCGGGGAATTGAGTTTAAAAGCAGAGCCCAGTTTGCCCTTGGCCCCAGCTTCAACCCTCAGCACCACCAAATACAAATTATCCTCTTGGTAGCTTTCAAGGAGGAACACACTGACCCTGTCTCAAAACAAACAAGAAACAAAGAAACAAAACAGAGGAACACTCTGGTTTGCTGGAAACATCCCATTATGCAATGCTCTGTAGCACATTTTAACTCTTTCAACTTGTAACCCCACTGACTGCTCCCTGCTACCCTAACTTCTACTACCATCATTTCAGTTTCTTTAGATCCCTTATATAAGTGAATGTATGCATATTTGCTTTTATGTGGTCCTCATAGTTACATAACATATTGTCATTCAGAGTCTTCCATGTGTTTACGAATGACTCTATTTCCTTCATTTTACGACTCCATTTCAGACCACTGTGTATACTATATAGTCTGTGCTTGTCATCCACCCATGAGTTCGTGCTTTGACTTTTTAAAAACATTCAGCAATGGCCAGGGATGCAGCTGTCTCTCTTTTATAATGACTTCATCTCCTCTTGAACAAACCCAGTAGCGTTTCTCACACTTGTTGAGGAGCCACTATGTTTTCCAATATCCACTCTAATTCACACTCTCAGTCACGCTGTGCAAGGTTTCCTTCACTCCATGTCAGTGGCAACATTTATCTTTCATCTTTCTGATAACAGCCATTGCAGGGTCAGGAGCTGGATAGAGAGGCTCCATGGTTATGAGCACCTGCTGCTCTTGCAGAAGACTCAGGCTCCATACATGAACATAAAATAAAATTAGTCTTAAAAAAGTCATGGTGCTGAAGGGATAGCTCAGCAGTGGACAGAAACGGCTGCTCCTCCAGAGGACCCTGGTTCAATTCCCAGCACCCACATGAGGACTCTCAGCCTTCTGTAACTCCAGTTTCAGACAACCTGTTACCCTCTTTATCTCTACAGGGCACCAGGAACTCACATGGTGTACATACATGCATGCAGGCAAAACAACCATACTAATAAAATAATCATGATGGAAGCAATGAATTACACAGTCATTGTGACCAGAGCAAATCATATTTCACTGTGCTTCTTGCATCTCCATAATTGGCGATTTTAACATTTTTGCCTAATGCCTCTCTTGCATCTGCATCTCTTGAGTCTGCTGTGAATGTTCCCCCAACCTCTATCCAGCCTTTGACTCCTGAAGAGATCAGGGCTTCTGGGGCTTCTCTTTCAGCACCCCAGCTGGGGGATCTGAAATGTATCTCTTTAGTCTGTTTTCAGTTTCCCGTATCTTTAGTGTGAGATGTAACTTCATGCTTCCCTGTGTAGAGATCTTTTGACAGTTTCTGGTTGTAGGGTCAGCTCTGGAAGTAGATGGGGCATTCTAAGGGGCTCTGGAGGTCTACCCAAACCCCTCCTCTCCTGCCTCAGTAGCCAGACTTAGAGCAAGCATAATTTGGCAGTATGTGGAGTTAGCAAGGTCAGACTTCATGTTTGTGGCACTGACAGTTAAACCGGGGTCTTAGGAATTCTGTAGTTGAGCAAGCATAATGCAGCACCCATAACCTCTCCCCAGCCCACAGACTGCTGAGCCGTCTCAGTTCCTCATTCCTTCCCAGCTCCTCCTGTCCAGCACCTTCCATAACAGGCCTTGTCCTGAGCCAGCATCCCTGTCTGGGGACAGACAGAAGGGGACAGAAGTCTCATCTCACACCAAAGCACAAAATGACAATGCCCCTGAGATTATTAAAACCCAGGAGTCCTACAGTGCAGTCACATTTAGAGAAGCTGTGGGCTAGCCTGGGACACTGATCATCTCAGATCAAGACCCCAGCTATCCACACTGTCTAAGGTTCATACTTCTACCTTCAGGAACACAGCTGAGACACAGTCCTTAAAAACCAAGGCAGACAACAGAGATCACCACTTTCCATAACTTAAGTAAAGCCTACTGAACTCCTGAAGCCTTAGGACTAATTTACCAGGTAGTTCCTTCTTCTCTAATTATAGCACTGACTTTGGGGAAATTGCCTCAGAAAGGAACTGTGGGTTCAAGGTGTCTAGTCAACTATTTTTTTGCTGGGAAAGAGTATGATATTCCGATGTTCTTACTCTGCCACAATTGCAGGTTGGTAAGATCCCACAGAAAGAGGGACCAGGAGAGGAACAGAGTAAAACAACGCAAGGTTAGACCACTCTTTCTCTCCTGGGTTGGCCCTGTCATTTCCCTTGTCAAAGCAAAGTTCTCATTTTATATATTACAAATCCCACAGGGACTCATTTCTTTCTGGTCTAGAGTACAGTTCCTCCCCTTCCAGGACCCATGTTTTCTTACCATGCACAAGGTCAGGTCTCTAAGAGGGTGGGAACCCTCAAGAGACTCTGTAGATTCACACAAGCCTGGCATTCATACCCCATCATGACCCTCCTCTTCCTGCCTCAATAACCAGCCTCAGAACAGACATAATGGGTGCTCTCCCAGCAACCTCAAGTCCTCCCTCGCTCTCACAGAGAGCAAGGCATTTGCCCTCACCACAGCTCTGGTGTCTCCAAGTCTTCAGCAGTTAGTGCTTTGATAGAAGAAGTCTGAAGATGTCCAGGATTCAAGATTCCTACAAGGAAAGCAGGTTGGTTTTACTTGAGTGAGATGGGTTGTGCTAGCAACTCCCCCACCCCACATCCACCCACAAACAGTAGACAGGACCTGACATTGGGTGGGGAAATAAGGAGAAAGACGATGAGGGGCAGGGAGGTTGAGGATGCTGCAATGGACCTGGTTTACTTAGTCTGTGTTTTGGAAGTTAAGTACCTTGAATCTCAGAGTAATGTAAGCTTCCAGACTGAGTGGCAGTCAGATCTGGGTGGCCAGAAATGGCCAATATATAGCCGATGTGTGAATGCTTGATGACGTGAAGTGGACTAGTTCCATGAATACTAGGGTGTCGGCACTCTTGGACTTTGAGCGTTTAGTCACTCCAGGAAGTGTTATGAGGAACTTCCATGCTCTATGCAATTCTGGTTGAAATGGACAAAAACAAGAACAAAAAGGACAATAAAGAAACAGAAGTGAAACTACATGGTAAAACATGGGGCAGGCATGTAAGCACATGTAAGAAGGGCGAACAGAGGCAGAGGTTAAGGGCAATTTGTCATATATAGTAAATACCTGCATGAAAGAAATTCGATTTAATTGAAAAAGAAATGAAGTTCTTGTAGTCTCTTAGCAGGAGCTCCCGCCTTCCATCTCTGCCAGCCTTCCACGAGCAGCCTCAGTCCTGGTGCTTCCTGAGCAGGTGCTGGAGGGACAGGAGGAGGAAAGAAGTGACATCCTGAGGAGAAGGACAGGCATGCAGAGGGCTGCTGCAGCAGTGCAGGCAAAGAGCATCCCCCTTGTCCCTGCAAGGAAAGGCTCCAGTGGCCTGAAGGAGTCTCGAAGCAATGCACCAATGCATGCTTTTCTAGTTCTTTGCTTCTGTGAGTAATCTCAGGAAAACTCAAGCTCTTGTTTTGTTTTTAGTTTTGGTGGGGTTTGTTTTAGTGCACACACACATATTTTGCATAAACTGGGCTTTCCTGTGACATTTTCCTAAACACAAAGGACATGCTTTGGTCATACTCATCTCTTTAGCTCTCTCTCTTCCAGTGCCAACAGAGACCTCAGATTTGGATACACAGGGGACAAAATGTCCATCTCCTGGGGACTCTGTAGGGGTGCATTGTTTGGCCTGTATAGCTCCACCCTAGGCCTGCTCCTGCCTCAGCTGCCTGCTGCTGGGAGGGAATGCAGCCCATACTGTCACAGTCAGGGACAGGTAGGCTGCTGCCTGGGTATGAAAAGAGTGAGTATGCTCCAGTCACTGCTATGGCAGAGGGAGATAGTGTCACCGACTCCTTACTTGATGACTTATTCATAATTATATGTCAATCTGTTTCCCATCTCCAAGAGAATTTGAGCAAGGAACTTGTATGTGGAATTAAAGAAATAAAATCCACAGTGTTGGGTGTTGAAGGAGAAGAAGTCTCCAGAAACCCTGATTTGTCAAGAGTCAGACACTGACACAGGCCCAAGGCTTGAGAAGGACACAGCTCCATTCTGGCTCTGCCAGGTAATGCAAGTCCAGGCAAAAGGCTGAGGGTTGCTTCCTTCCACTTCCCCATCTTTCCAAGGTTTCGTTTCTTAGGAAATGAAAGCACAGTTCTCAGGCCTCCTGTCTCCACCCTTCTAATATCAAGAAGCAAGGGCTACTTCCTGTTGGGCAATAGTCTTCCTTTCCAGTCAGTATGATGTCCCTGAGCTCTGGCTTGAGACTGAAGAAACTGTATCAGAAGAGCCACTCACTGAGTCCCTGGCAGAGCAAGGGGGGAGACCGTTTGGATGATCACTGACTGTGTTCATAGGTTTCTTTTGTGGTGAGGTGGCCTCATGCAGCCCTGGCTGTCCTTGGACTCGCTGTGCTGCCTGCCTGGACATGGAACTCCTAATCCTTCTGCCACCCTCCCCCACAAGGTCCTGGGATCATAAGTGTGAGCCTCCAGGCCTGCTGGTTTTTAATCTCAATTCTTGTTCTCTCTTTCTCTTTATTGTTAATGCTTTCTGTTAGTTAATGCTCAAAATAAAGGAATGCTTCTGCAGTTTTCACACATTTACAGCTTTGTCCCTTGCCCCATTTTTCTCCCTTATGTCTGTCCCCTCTCCAACGAGTCTCTTCAGTAACTTCCTTCTTCTTCCAATAGATACCTGTGATTCTACTTTTCCTGTAAAAGACAGCTGCAATGGTTTCTTTTTCCTCTTCTTATTAGTCTCTTCTTCCTCATCAGCTCATCCCCTTTTCTCCGTGCGTGGGTGAGTGAGTGCGTGGGTGAGTGAGTGCGTGTGTGTGCGTGTGTGTGTGTGTGTGTGTGTGTGTGTGTGTGTGTGTGATCTTTGTCTCTCTGTGTGTTAGTATATTTCATGTTAAGCACAATCCTATCACTGTACTATACAGCTCCATCTCTCTAGTAAATTTTATATTTGCCAATACTTGATTTACTACTCTGTAATATTTCAGTTTTCCTTTTTTCAACTTTATCATTTTACAATGGAATCTGAAAGGAACATGTAAAAATCTTCCTGCTCAGGTTAGAGATCCAGCTTAGAGGCAGAATGTATACCTATTATATGTGAAGTCTCTTGTGAAACTCTAAATGTGCACACACACACACACACACACACACACACACAGAAGAGGGGGGAGAGACAGACAGACACAGAAAGACACAGAAGGACACGAGAAAGAGAGAGAGACAGAGACAGAGACAGAGAGAAGACAAAGACACAGTGTGAGCCAGGGGAGACAGCCTGGGATGGTAACTCATAGGGTCCAAGTTGTATCTCCTAGCTCTTTGGGAAGATGGGTTTCTTGGGGACACTCCAAAGGCTGCCCTAGGCAGACAAGTTTCATCTACCACTTTTTCTTGTGCCCTCTCTTAGGATAATTATGGTAACTCAAGCTTCTCTGACTCACTGCTTTTTAACAGCCACAAAGTGTGAGGAGAAAGATCAGGCTGTAGAGTTGAGAGAAGGGGTGAGAAGTAAGAAAACAGAGGCAGTGAGGAGGTAGGCAGGAAGTTAGGCAAAGGCCAGGGATGGCCAGGGAGCAAGAGGCAGGACCTCAGAATCCCCAGCTGTGGGTGCTTCTCCATCAATCAACCTCAGGCTGGTAAATGTGGCAGCATCAGCATCTGGCCTGTGATCTCTTGTGCATGGGCTTTCTCTCTCTCTCTCTCTCTCTCTCTCTCTCTCTCTCTCTCTCTCCTCTCTCTCGGAGGAAGGATCAGGTCAGAAGGACAGAGAAGGACTGTGGTGGTTTGTTATTGTTCTAAGTTGTTCCCCAATAAAACACCCATTTGTCATTTATCTTGGGTCTAGTGAACTCATGACACCCATGCCTTCAGGTAAAAGAGCCTGTGGATGACTCAAGCTCCCTTGCTCAAGACACCCCAGTCAAGGGAAGGCTAGTGGATCAGAAGCTTGGCTTCTGCATCTTCCCCGGTGCTCCTCCCCCACCTTAGGTAGAACAAATGTTCATATGGCTCACTTGTCACATACCTGCAGTTACTGCAACGATGCTGCATGCATTCTGATGCCTCCTGGCCTTTCCACCACTGCAATGTTCCTGCACTGCTGGGTCCTCAGAGGAAATTATGCTCAAGGCCTTGAACCTAAACTTGATCTACCAATGCAAACTTGTGTCCACCTGCTTATATAAGTGCCTTTGATGGACAGGCTTTCCAACTCCTGGCATTGCCAGAATTTATCATTTTCCTGAGTCATTGAAATTCCAGCTTTCATCTCACATGTGGCCAAACATTTAAACATTTATGGGTATCATATATGTTATATATGTAACATATGCATACTCATACATACATCATGGAATGTCCTTCAGGTGAAAAAAAATGAAAGTATGTCATTTGCAGGATGGAAAACAGAAAAGACTAGAAAAAAATCATCATGGTGAATAGAATAAGTCAGACCCAGAAATGCAAATATTTCTTACTTCCTCATCTATATGAAAGTTCGCTTTTTGTTGAGTGAGGGCAGTGTCTAAAAGTGAGAGGGATGAAAAGTGAGAGAAGATGGAGAGGGCCAAAGGATGATAAGTGTTAAGTGTTTTCTTTCATTTGCAGAATCCACTTCTGTGTACAGACATATATGTGGACACCACAGGGGGACTGTGGGACTAGTAAGGTGACCATCAGGAGAGAGGAGCTAGGAAGGAGGATAATGGAGAGATGAATGTGAGCGATGTACAATGGCATGTAGGTGTGAATACATAATGAGGCACATGTAGGTGTGAACACATAATGAGGCACATTTTTTTATATGTTGGCTAAAAATCATTTCAACCCAAACAAACGTGGCTATCCCAGCTCCTCCAGATCTGTGTGTACAACAGCAGGAGGCCTGTCTCAGGGCTCAGAAGGGTCACCTGGTCACCTTGGAAAACATCTCCTAACAATTTGCAATATACTGAAGAGAAATCAAGACAGGCTTGAAGGAGAGCCACACATATACTCATCCACATTCTCTCTCACACAAATAAATACATTTAATTAAAAAACCTTAAGAGTTTTTGGTTTTTAGTTCTAGAGGCTAAGCAAACATGGGGCTAGCAAATGCTAACATGCTTTTGTCCACTGATTAAAGCTACACCTTGAGCCTAGGTTGACATAGCAAAGTCAGCCAGTATTAGAAGAATAAACATTGTGCTGCCTCCTTAGTCTTCTTTGTTGCAGTAGGAGATACCAGAGACTGAGTGTCTTAATAGAAATTCATTTCCCACAGTTCCTGTGGTTAGGGAGTCCAGGACCAAGATTAAGCAGAGCAGGGCTCATTCAGAGGCCTCTTTCCTTAGCTGCCAGTCATCCTGTGCCCTCGTGGTCACCTGTACATAAGGACAGGGAAGCAAGTGCTCTGGCATGTCACCTCATAAGGACACTAGTGTCCATGTGATGTTCCACCCTTAGGACTTGGTTTAACTTCACTCACTTCCTTAGTGGCATCATGTCCACATTAGGGCTTCAAAATAGGAACGAGGTGGGTGAAGATGACTCATTCAGCTTATAGCACTGGCCCATGACATTATTGATAAGATGATGACTAATCTTCAATGTTAGCCTGGTTGCACTTAGAAGTTTCTAGGGCACACATCTCTGCTTTTTTTCAGTGAGAAAGTTTCCAAGAAGGTTTAGCTAGGAGGCATGACCCACCCTGGTATGGGGTCTTTATCCCATGGTCTGGTGTCCTGGGATGAATAAACAGGGAAGTGCACCAGGAAACTAGCATTTGCTTCTCTCTGACTGCTCAATTTGCACACAGTATGACCTGTCACCTCATACTGCATCCCTTATAACTAGAGGCCCTCTTATCAGCAGTCCGTCCTTGCCAAGATGGACTCTGCCCTCAGGATGATGTTACAGCAACCAGAAATATAACCAAAGTGTTCTTCAGAGGGCAACAAGCAGAACTAAGCTGTAAATGTGTAATAGACATTGATTGGCTTTGGTGGGGCTGGACTGATTCATAGGTATCCAACTTGGGCCATCTAAGTTACACCCTTAGCAAACATTTTTATATTTTTTTACTTTTTTAAAAGAAGATTTTGGGTGTAGCTTTGCCTGAATCTAGAACCTTATATAGTCTCCCATCAAACTCTTCTGTAATGAGATATTCACTTTGTCCGCACCTGTGGCACAGACCTCGCCTGTTGGGGGGTGGAGGCAGGGGTGCAAGTTACCTGGGGGAACTAAGTCTGAGGGCTCTTGCTTGTAGAATAGGGACAGGAGTACATCCGGAGGCATCCTTGGGACCAGGAACCTGTTGGTGTTCATCTGTCTCCCTGAATAAACATCTATTCGGCCTATTTGTTTCTCCTGATCTTTATTAAACATCAATATCTGGTATCAGAAGCCGGATCCGGATTTTCAGGGGACCTGGTTTTCACCCAGGTGGCAGATGCCGCTCCCCTTCCCCCACCATCCCACCATCCCGGAACAGGCAGGGTCCCTTGCCTAACCAAGTGGACATACCTCAGCTTGTGGGACTTTCACCTCTGCCCTACAACTCCTTTATCTCCACAGCAGTAAAGGAATTCTTTGCTGTAGCTTCAGGTGATGAAACACGATCCACAAAACTCAACAAACCCACATGGAGTTAATTGGGAAATCCAGGGGGAGGGGTAGGCCACTCAAAAAGCCTTTGCCCTGGGTGTCAGCAAAGCACTCAGACATCAACGTGGTCGGTCATAGGTTGTGACCTAAACTCTAGACAGCTGTGTAGACTTTGGTGGCTTTATGGGACAATGACATCACTATGGACCCTGCCTGTGATAGAACCATTGACCCAGACATGGTCCTTGGCAGCAGCAGGGGCCAGGATGTCATGATGGCTCCAGATGCTCCCTGCAGGCCACCCAGATTGGCATGACCCCCATGGCAGCATGGCCCTCTGATAACAACATGGCCCCAGGTGGCAGCCTTGAGGACAGGCCTCTGCATGGCTCTCAGTGGCAACAGGAGCTACAGACATCAACACAGGCCCCCTTAGGTGCTTCAGGGTCTAGGACTGCTGTTCATCTATCAGCTTACCATCTACATCTGAGTCTACTGATGTTGTAACTATGGTCTACAACCCTGTTGCACCACAATCATTGTCCTATCGCTCATGCCATGGCCTGGTGGGACTTCCAATCTGCCTGCACCAGCTCTGCTCTGTCACCAAATATCGTTTATAACCAAGTGTCAATCATTCTATTTACCAATAAAGACTCTGGAGTCAGAGGTTGAGGCGAAAAGCTGCTCCTTTTTGACTGCAGACCCAGCAAGAAAGAGAGCGTCTCACCAGCCATCCCAACCAAGAAAGACTGCAAAAACTCTAAGTCCCTCTGTACTCCTTGAGGTGCATCTATATCCATGTTCCTGGCTTCTCTATACTCTCTATGGCTAATTTCTGACAACTAATTGCAGGCCTGTGAGGAAGGGGGACTCCTGATTGATTGTGACTAGCCAGACCAAGAAGTATGGAGAGGAGCCCTCTGTGTCCTCCACCATCTCAGGCCTGAAAAGGACAGAGTGGCTCCTGGTTGATTGTGACCACCCAAGGCTTACCTTTGCACACAGGAAGACCTTAATTTGATACCCAAAACACACATAATATGGCATGATTGCAATTCCAGTGTTGGGGAAGTGAAGGCAGGAAGACTACTCACTAGCCATCATAGCCTGACTGGTGAACTCCAGGTCAAGGAAAGACCCTATCTCAAAGGATGACACCTGGTGTTGGCCCCTGATCTACACAAGCATGTGCACACATTTGTGCACCTCCCTCAACATGCATAAACACACACACACACACACACACACTGTGCTATATTAAATTGTAAGGGTGTCCTTTAAAGACTGCAATTAAACTCAACAAAGGAGATAATATGTTTTCAAAATAAACCCTAAACATCTTTTTTGTTTGTTTGTTTGCTTGCTTGTTTTGTTTTTTGAAACAGGTTTTCCCTGTGAACTGCCCTGGCTGTCCTGCAACTCACTCTTTGTAGACCAGACTGGCCTTGAACTCACAGAGACCCACCTGCTTCTACCTCCTGAGTGCTGGAATTAAAGATGTGCATCACCACACTGGGCAATCCCTAAACATCCTGAACTCACTTGTGCATGGCTGATAAAGCTGGGGTCTTGGAGATCACTTTTGATCTCTTATGCAGCAACAGTTGGCAGAGTTTCTTCTGCCTCAAGCTCTCCTTGCTGGCTTCTTCCATGAGCCTAGGCATTGTCCTTTGAACTTCATCAGGGCATTCAACTGTTTGCTGCAATTCTGACTCTGAAGTCCCTTGCACACCCTGAGCTTTGGAGTTAAATTCCTTTTTGCTGACTTTGGAAGTGAACCAGGGCTCTGAGGAATGACTGGAGGAGAAGCTAGGAGGAAGGGTGGAGGGGAGCAGGAGAGTCTTAGCTGGTCAGTCTGCATGGACACAGACCATAGGCACTGGCACCTCTTTTTGAGCTGCCTCCTCCTAGATGCTGCTCCTCCCTGTTCTGATAGCTTTTCTACATTCTTCTCTTCCTCCCAGTGACCCCCTAAAGCCCCAGGTCATTGGCTTGGCTTGCCCTGGCTCTCATGCTAGCCCTAGGTTTTTCCCTAGGAAGGAGGAGGGTGCATTTGTACCCACAAGGTTTGGTGTGGAGGAGGATGACCCACCGGACTGGGTTCACTGACTCACTTCCTCTTAGCCACTTCCTGCCCCAGTTCGTGACACCCTGAGAACAGAGGGGGTTTCCGTCTCTGTCCACTCTGGGTATTGATCTGAATATCCTCCCTCAGACTTTGCATTCTTCTTCATTGCTTCCTGTCACCCCAGGATTCTTAAAGATTAAAGAAATCATTGTTGAAATTTGTGGAGCGATTTCCTCAGATCTGGCCTGGTGGTGACAGGAGACAAAGCTGTGGATTCCTTCCAGACTAATGTGGTTTGAGCAAGCCAGACCCCCTGAAACAGCGTTCCCGGTGATCCAACATTCAAAACAGCTTGAACAAGGCAGCCTAAGTGGTGGATGAATTCTGATTCTGGACCACTAGTGGAGGGATCACTAGTGGGTTCTGGGCTGCACATCTCCCAGCAGGCAGTAGAGAGTCAGGGGTGGGCTCCCAGACAAGTTCACTGCAGAGACGCCCCAGTGAGCTGAATATTTCCGAAGTCCCTGCCTTTCCACGACTGCTGTTGCTTAGGGAAACGGAAGTAAGAAAGGGTGACGGTGGGCGGAGCATGAGTAAAGCGCATTATGAAAGCGGAACAAGGAACCCGAATATATTGTGCAGTTCGTATGCGCTCAAAACCAGAATCAGTTTCTTAGGGCAGGTTTAGATGCAACAACTTTGGGAAGTATTACTATAACCAAGTGGCAAGTGGGATGATCACCACAGGATAGCTCTGGGAATCGCACAGAAGGCTCTAGGATCCTGAGGGCACGGAGAGGGCTCTCACCCATCTGCATTTCCCCCCGGAGTAGTGCACTGCATGTCTTAAGCCCTGTGTTCAAGTGACTACCCGGGCACCTTTAGAGCAAAGGGACAGCCCTGCAGCTCAGGAATTCCAGCTGCTTTGGGGATGAAAAGGTCAGATTACTCACCCCTGAGCGTGTTTCGTTCTGACCAATAGAAAACACCTTGGGCTTTTCCCTGTTTCCAGTTTGCTATTTCACTTCCTGGATTGAGGGTGGGGTGGTTAAAGGCTCGCACGTAGTTCTCAAGTTTCCAGTGGGGCTCTGGAATTCAGGCAGGAGCACTCTTCAAAATATTGGGTGCAGCAAAGAAAGGATTTAGAGGTGAGGGTACAACCTGGGCTGTGGATGGTACTCGCCAAGTAACAGAGCCCATCCTGGAAGACATTCCCTGGCCGGGATTTGTAGCCCTGGATTGTTCCTCGGGTGACTCCAGACTGCCTCACTTCACCAACGGTCCGACTGGGAAGCAGGTATGAGCCCCGGACTCCAAACAACACAGCTAGGCAACCGCAGAACTCAAGGGTAAGTGGCCTCTTCGTTATAGCCTACTCGAGCCTCAACCCCTTCTGCCCTTTCTGTCCCTCTTTTCCTTCTCCGGGTACAATCTAGTGGACCTGGAACCATATGGAGGGTCGTCAGTACAAACATTATCTCTCAGGGGACCTTGGTTAGTTTATGTTTCTACTTGGAACAGTGCCTTTTGGAGTCTTCATAGCTCAATTTGACGAAGTACAGGCTGTGGAGGACTTGGGCACCTGGTGAGCCGAGGGTGCGGCCAAATGCCTTTGTCTGCTTGCGGTGGGGGGAGGGCTTAAGAGTTCAGGCAGAGAGCTCCGGTTCTGCTTTGTGTGCGCCTGAGCTGATGAGGCAGCGCCTGCTCCTGTCCCAGTGTGCTTTCCTGCCTGTCTGCAGTGCTGGTGTCTGAATGCCATGTTCTCCCCCTCTGAAGACAACTAACAAGACACCTTAAATCCCAAATCAAAATCCTAGAGAATTTTCCCCAGTGCACACTATAATTTCCGGGTAGGTTTAAAGGTGGGGAATCCATGTGTAAACCAGACTAAAAGATTCAGTGAGGTTAATGAATTTATATGCCAGGATTTGTGGCTCAACTGTCCTGTTTCTGAAGGATTGTGTCCCAGATAAATGAGGTGGTCAGTGTCCCAGGCTAGTCCATAACTCTTAAATATGACTGTATTGTGTCCTCCAGGAGTTCCAAATTTCCTGGGGACATGAGTATTGTTCTTTGGCACTTTGGTGTGAGATGAGATTTCTGTCCCCTTTCCATGTGGTCAGGATCCAAGGCTCAGGACAGGGCCTAATAAGGAAGGTGCCGAACAGGAAAGGCAGGGAAGGAATGAGGAACTGAGGCTGCTCAGCAGTGCTTAACACAGGGTGGGGCCGCAGCTTTAACTCTTTACTGGGCAGAGAGGAAACTGCAACCTCCTGGGCAGTGCGGGCTGCTTTAGATACAGTTCACTTTAGCTGTGGTTTTCTTTTAGTATTTTAGAGGGGAGGGAGACACACAGGGTCTTGGTGTGTACCCTAGGCTGGCCTGCAATTCACTGTGTATGTTCTGCATGCCTCAAGTCACAATGTTCACAACAGCCTCCCCAGGGCCAACACCATGCTAGGCTCTTTGCAGTGCTTTGGGTGGAGGTCTCATGGTGGTCTCTGGCAGGGCATTAGGGAAAATGGGCTCACTTCTGGGTGGCTCAATCACACCTATCCCCTCTTTCTGTGATTTCTTACCAGCCTGCAATTGTGGCAGAGAAAGGATATCTGAAGGTCATTGTTTCCTGCCAAAGATTACTGATTAGACACCCTGTGCCCAAGATCCCTTCTGAGAGAATTTTCCCAGAGTCAGGGCTATAATTTGAGAAGAAACTACCTGGTTAGACCCAGAAGTCCCTCTCTTTGCCTACCAACATTGGGGTGTTAGACACATAAAGTCAGCTTTTTTTTTTTTTTTTCTTCCATTCTTGGCTTTTGATGTGGGTGCAGGTCCTCATGCTTGCATAACAAGCACATTTCCTACAGAGCCACCTCCCAGCCATAGGGACCTTAAGTTTGACTTCATGCTGAGGCTGAGGGCCTGCCCAGCTAATCAGCAAAGGGGAAGGAGGTGCCCAGGAGATTAGCAGAGCCAGTGACTTTCTTTTTGTTTTTGTGTTTTTGTTGTTGTTATTATTATTTGGTTTTGTTTGTTTGTTTGTTTTTCAAGACAGGGTTTCTCTGTGGCTTTGGAAGCTATACTGGAACTAGCTCTTGTAGACCAGGCCAGTCCTGAACTCACAGAGATCCACCAGTCTCTGCCTCCTGAGTTCTGGGACTAAGGGCATGCGCCACCAACGCCCAGCCGCTAGTGACTTTCTGAACCAGCCAGTTATCACCCAAAACTCACAAGGCTCAAGGCTCATGAACAACAGCAAGTCGTGGCTCATACAAAAGCAGGAGGCACATGGGCAGTATCTTCTGAGAAAGGCAAGAGCCTAGACAATAGACAAAGTCATTCACACACTTGAGGTGATCTCTACTTGTCAAAAATGAACTCGGAACTTTTTCTCACACCACATTACACAAGCTGACTAAAAAATGAACTAAACATGTAAAGGTAAGACCAGAAAAGGAAACATAAGAAATAGAAAAATTACTAACAGAAAAGGAAACATAAGAAATAGAAAAATTACTAACAGAAAACACAGAAGAGGAGTTCCATGACATTGGCTTTGGCAAAAGTCATTTGGATGTTGCCTTGATTAGCTTTACTGTCAGTGTGACAGAACCTAGAATTATCTGAGAAGAGTATATCCATTGAAGGATTGCCTCTATCTGATTGGCGTGTAGCCACATGTATGAGATTGTCTTGATAATTGATATAGGAGTGCCTAGACCACTTTGGACAGCCCTATTCCCTAGGCAGGGGGAATCAAACAGAAGAAAGCAAGCCAGCCAGCAACATCCTCCAGGGGTCCTGTTATATTTCTTTGGCTGTGAATTGACTTCTTTGGTCAGAGATAATGTTGTTTGGAATAGCAACAGGCCTGTCTTCAAGTTCCTGTTTTGACATCCTTCAGTGGTGGACAGTGATCTGGAAGCATTTGCAAATAAACCTGTTTTATCCCAAAGTTGTTTATGGTCAGGATATTTGTCACAGCAACAGACAGGAAACTAGTGCAGAGGTTTCCTAAGCCACAAGCAAAAAAAGTCCCAGTGTAGACCTGCGATTCCATCAAACTGGAATGTACCCACACAAGCAAAGGAAGCAGTAAACAAAGAGAGACAATCTACAGAGGGAGAAAAGATTTGTGACACAGTCTAATAAAGGGTTAATATCCAGGTAGATAATGCACTTAGCCAAATGTAAATAAATAGTAATTGCAAAATGGACTGAATGGATACTAATCATAAATCATTTCAAAGCTGAACTAGACAGATGGCTCAGTGGTTGGTAGGAGCACTGGCTGCTCTTCAAGAACACCAGATTTCAATACCCAGTATCCACATGGGTTTACAGTCAACCTGTAACTCCAGTTCCAAGGGGTCTGGTGGTATCTTCTGGCCTTTAGGCTACTGCATGCACATGGCATCCAGAATTACATGCAGGCAAAACACTGGTACACATAAAATACCTAAGTCTAAAAAATGGTGTAACTAAAGCCCATGATACATAAAAGATGAAAACCACACAGATTCCACTGAGGGTTTATTTAGAGGAGGCTGAATACAATATTAAGTGTTAGAAAGTGGTAAAATGAGATTGAAAATTGGAAAGGCTTAACTACACTTGTAACATTACATCTGAAAACCCAGTAGGCATATAAGTTCGGCTAATGAGTGCAAAGGCAGAGGGAAAGAACCACTTCTCCACCTGCACAGTGACTGGTCCAGTGGAACATACGTAGCCAAGGATTATGCTCTTGGCTCCACAGTACAGAATTTGCTGTCTCCAGGGTTTTTCTCATTCTAAAGGCTCTGTGTGTTTTACAGGAAAGAAATTCAGCTTGAAAATGCAAAGGCTGATAGGGAAATGGTCATCACTGTTGATCAAGAAACAGATTGTCCTGAGCTGGTACTATATGTAGGAGCCATCACACTTGGGGAGAAGCATAGAAAGAAAATGAAGAACCCTCTCAGAAAACGGGAGAGTGAACACATCTCTCAAGCTATGTGTGCTCTCCTGAACTCTGGAGGTGGGGTGATCAAGATTAAAATTGAAAATGAAAATTATAGCCTCAACAGGGATGGCCTGGGACTGGATTTGGAAGCCTCTCTTTGTAAATGTCTTCCATTTGTGGGGAGGCACCTAGACTTCATGGAGCATGGAAGCTACTTTTACATCTGTGTGAAACCCTGGAGTGTGGACATCTTTGGGTCACCGATTGGCACCCTGAGAACCAATTTGTACGTAAGAACCTGGTCATCCTCAGTTGAAGTGGTTGCCTCTGATGCTCTCGAGTTTCTCCAAGACCTGGAGGAAACTGGAGGGAGATCCTGTGTCAGACCAGAGCCTCCTGTAAGCAGAGCCTGCCCTGGAGTAGAAGAAGAGAGTCTCCTGGAGGACCTGGCTGCTGCAGTTTTCAACAAAACCCAATTTCAGTACCAAGAAGACGTTCCCTTCACCAGGTCAGCTTATGCTGAAGTGGCATTGCTTTCAGGGAAACAGCTTCGAAAACACATTAAAGAGCTTATCCCTCGAACAGTTTCTGCCTTTGCAAACACTGAAGGGGGATATTTGTTCTTTGGTTTGGATGGTGACAAGCAACAAATAATTGGTTTTGAAGCAGATGAAAGCGATCTTGGGCCCCTAGAGAGTGAAATAGAGGAGTGCATCCGACAGCTGCCTGTCACTCACTTCTGTGAGGAGCAGGAGAAGATAAAGTACACATGCAAATTCATCCAAGTCCACAGACAGGGAACTGTGTGTTCATATGTCTGTGCGCTCAGAGTAGAGAGATTCTGCTGCGCCGTGTTCGCTGCAGAGCCGGAATCCTGGCATGTGGAAGGCGACCATGTGAAGAGGTTTACCACGGAGGAATGGGTCAAGTGCCTGATAGCTGGCAAGCCAAGTTCAGGCACCACTGGTGCGTGAGTTCACACAGGTCTACTGGGCATGTATTAGCTGCTGCTCTCAAGGAACACATATGGTTCAATAATGCCATTCTTTTAACCTGTCACAGCTGAAGTACTTCATGGCCACAAGTGGGCTCATGGCCACAAGTGGGCTAAGCCTGCAAGTCCCTGAAGCTCTGTAACTGGAAACTGAGAAAGAAATGCAGTCATGAGATCAGGCTTCTGTCAAGCTTGTGGGACTTTTTTTTTTTTTTTTTTTTTTTTTTGGTCTTAGACCTAGCTCGAGGCCAGCCTCGAACTCACAGAGATCAACCTGTTTCTGCTTCCTGAGTGCTGGCACTAATGGTGTGCACCACCAACATCTGGCTTGACTTTTCTCCCTTCCTTTCTTTCTTTCTTCCTCCCTTTCTAACTTTTATTGATTCTCTGTGGAACTATTGCATCCCAGTTCCACTCATCTCCCCACCCCTCCAGAGCTGCCCTCTGCCCTTGCAACCTCTAACAAGAAGGAAAGCAATAAACAAAAACTAAATAAAGATTTACAATGAAAAAGATCTCACCATGGAAGGTATGGTGTGTTGCACACAATAAACACTTTTTCTTAAACATCTTTACTTGCAAATGTTTATTTCAATGAGATATTGGTCTAGTTCCAAGCTCTCTGGCTTCTGCTGTCAATATTGGATCCTGCCCTGGACCCCTTTCAGATACCCTACTGTAGTCCTGTGTCATGGAGATCCTGCAACTGTGGTTCCCTCAGGACCAGCCCCTTCACATGTTCCAGAAGGTCACAGATGGGGTAGATGCTGAGGTGAGCCAACTTATTTCTGTGGATCTGGGCCTGGGTGGTCAGCTGGGATGGCCAGCCAGCCCACCCACTCCCTTGCACCTGTGCCACCAGGGCCAGCTCTGCCCAATGCCCCTGTGAGTGGCAGGACCAGCTCACCTGGGTGCCACAGCTGGTCATGGGCGTGGCTAGCTTTCAGGCTCTGCTGCCCAGGAGAGCTGCATAGGACATTTCTTACCTAGTGATTGATGTAGGAGAACCCAGCCTCTGCATCGGCTCCTGCCCCCATATTTCTGCATGGTTTGAGTTCTTGTCCCAGCTTCCTTCAATGCTGACTACACCGTGGAAGTGTAAACCAAGTACATCCCCCAAAACTTGCCTTTTGGTCATGGTGTGTCCATGCAGCAACAGGAACCCTAACCAAGACACCTGCTTACTGTGATGTCTATGAGGAAATTCTTACTGTAGCCCACTGGCTGAAATCTCAGTGATGGAGTGAGGAGGGTGATATCATGGGGTGGGTGAGGCCATGGCTGTGGGGGTGTGGGATAGATTGACAGGAGCAGGTTTTTGTTTGTTTTTTGAGAGAGAGTTTCTCTGTGTAGCTCTGTCTGTCCTGGAATTCACTCTGTAGACCAGACTGGCCTCACACTCAGAAATCTGCCTACCTTTGCCACCCTAGTGCAAAGATTAAAGCTGTGTGCCACCATTGCTGTCCTAAGGAAGGCATATTTTATCCCTATTGCATCTGTGGGTCTTCTTAGTGAGGCCCCTTATGTCTCCATCCTGGTGTCACTCAGAATAGGTGAGCAACATTAAAATAAAATCACATATAGAAATGAAAATCAAAGGTGCCCACTGTACTTCCAGTTACCATAGAACCTATAATGTGCCCTCTGCTGTGGCAATGGCATGACTAGAATGGGTACAATCATTTTTCCAGTTGGATTTAAGGTCATATCCATTCCCATGGAGGGAGCCTGTGCTTACTGAAAGCCAAGACAAAGGCCATGGTTGCAGATGTCCCAGGACCCATGGCAAAGCAACTACTTCAGTTGTAAAACAGAGATGTGCTTTTCAATCTAACTGCTATCTAAATACTGGTCCTTATGGATTATCATTGCAGCCTGTCTCATAAAGACATTTTCTTCCCTTACAGTGGGACTGGATAATGCAAAGACTCACAGCTGCTCACAGTCCCCAGTAAAAGTGATTACTGTTATGGTTCAGTGGACCAATATTCAGACTGAACATGGAGAAAATGAGCAGGTCTCAGCATCACCTGCTCCAAAAGCTTTGGGATCACAAAAGAGGTGATCCCCCAAAAAGATATCATCTTCAAAGTTTGTTTTTAGGATGACTCAGAATAAACCTTATTGTGATAAATGAAGAGAGATAGCATGTTTTTTTTTTTTTTTTTTTTTTTTGAGGTAGGTCTTATGTAGTTCAGACAAGTCTTGAACTCAGTAGGTCAGAGAGGATGAGAAGAATTCATGATCCTTTTGCCTCAAACTACACAAGTGTTAAGTGCCTTAGCTTTGTGATGATAAAATCTAATTTTTATTTTTCCAAATAAATAATAAGGCAATTATAAAATCACTATCCCAGGCTTTCATAAAGAGCAAAACACGACACTCACAGTATACACAAGCCCTAACATGGGTCTTTAAAAGTCAGTGAGTACTGGGGTAGAGAGATGGTTCAGTGCTCTATCAGAACACTTACTGTTCTTTCAGAAAAACAAGGTCAGTTCCCAGCCTCACATGGTGCTTCAAAACTATCTGTAATTTAGGTCCATGGGCTGTGATCTGTCTTCTGACCTCTACAGGCAACGTGCACACCGTGACACAGACATGCATACAAAGAGAACTTTCATACACATGATGTAAAAGCAGAGAAATCTAAATATTTTTAATCTAGTTCAGTAAGGTTTGATGGTACATGCATATAGCATTAAGAGGACAAACAAGAGACTATATAAGGTTCTAGAGTCAAGCGAAGCTACAGCCAAAATCTTGTTTTAAATAAACAAAAGATAAAAGTGTTTGCTCAGGGTGTAACTCAGACACCTGCTTACTGTGGCCCAAGTTGGATACCTATGAATCAGTCCAGCCCCACCAAAGCCAATCAATGTCTATTACACATTTACAGCTTAGTTCTGCTTGTTGCCCTCTGAAGAACACTTTGGTTATATTTCTGGTTGCTGTAACATCATCCTGAGGGCAGAGTCCATCTTGGCAAGGACGGACTGCTGATAAGAGGGCCTCTAGTTATAAGGGATGCAGTATGAGGTGACAGGTCATACTGTGTGCAAATTGAGCAGTCAGAGAGAAGCAAATGCTAGTTTCCTGGTGCACTTCCCTGTTTATTCATCCCAGGACACCAGACCATGGGATAAAGACCCCATACCAGGGTGGGTCATGCCTCCTAGCTAAACCTTCTTGGAAACTTTCTCACTGAAAAAAAAGCAGAGATGTGTGCCCTAGAAACTTCTAAGTGCAACCAGGCTAACATTGAAGATTAGTCATCATCTTATCAATAATGTCATGGGCCAGTGCTATAAGCTGAATGAGTCATCTTCACCCACCTCGTTCCTATTTTGAAGCCCTAATGTGGACATGATGCCACTAAGGAAGTGAGTGAAGTTAAACCAAGTCCTAAGGGTGGAACATCACATGGACACTAGTGTCCTTATGAGGTGACATGCCAGAGCACTTGCTTCCCTGTCCTTATGTACAGGTGACCACGAGGGCACAGGATGACTGGCAGCTAAGGAAAGAGGCCTCTGAATGAGCCCTGCTCTGCTTAATCTTGGTCCTGGACTCCCTAACCACAGGAACTGTGGGAAATGAATTTCTATTAAGACACTCAGTCTCTGGTATCTCCTACTGCAACAAAGAAGACTAAGGAGGCAGCACAATGTTTATTCTTCTAATACTGGCTGACTTTGCTATGTCAACCTAGGCTCAAGGTGTAGCTTTAATCAGTGGACAAAAGCATGTTAGCATTTGCTAGCCCCATGTTTGCTTAGCCTCTAGAACTAAAAACCAAAAACTCTTAAGGTTTTTTAATTAAATGTATTTATTTGTGTGAGAGAGAATGTGGATGAGTATATGTGTGGCTCTCCTTCAAGCCTGTCTTGATTTCTCTTCAGTATATTGCAAATTGTTAGGAGATGTTTTCCAAGGTGACCAGGTGACCCTTCTGAGCCCTGAGACAGGCCTCCTGCTGTTGTACACACAGATCTGGAGGAGCTGGGATAGCCACGTTTGTTTGGGTTGAAATGATTTTTAGCCAACATATAAAAAAATGTGCCTCATTATGTGTTCACACCTACATGTGCCTCATTATGTATTCACACCTACATGTGCCTCATTATGTATTCACACCTACATGCCATTGTACATCGCTCACATTCATCTCTCCATTATCCTCCTTCCTAGCTCCTCTCTCCTGATGGTCACCTTACTAGTCCCACAGTCCCCCTGTGGTGTCCACATATATGTCTGTACACAGAAGTGGATTCTGCAAATGAAAGAAAACACTTAACACTTATCATCCTTTGGCCCTCTCCATCTTCTCTCACTTTTCATCCTCTCACTTTTAGACACTGCCCTCACTCAACAAAAAGCGAACTTTCATATAGATGAGGAAGTAAGAAATATTTGCATTTCTGGGTCTGACTTATTCTATTCACCATGATGATTTTTTCTAGTCTTTTCTGTTTTCCATCCTGCAAATGACATACTTTCATTTTTTTTCACCTGAAGGACATTCCATGATGTATGTATGAGTATGCATATGTTACATATATAACATATATGATACCCATAAATGTTTAAATGTTTGGCCACATGTGAGATGAAAGCTGGAATTTCAATGACTCAGGAAAATGATAAATTCTGGCAATGCCAGGAGTTGGAAAGCCTGTCCATCAAAGGCACTTATATAAGCAGGTGGACACAAGTTTGCATTGGTAGATCAAGTTTAGGTTCAAGGCCTTGAGCATAATTTCCTCTGAGGACCCAGCAGTGCAGGAACATTGCAGTGGTGGAAAGGCCAGGAGGCATCAGAATGCATGCAGCATCGTTGCAGTAACTGCAGGTATGTGACAAGTGAGCCATATGAACATTTGTTCTACCTAAGGTGGGGGGAGGAGCACCGGGGAAGATGCAGAAGCCAAGCTTCTGATCCACTAGCCTTCCCTTGACTGGGGTGTCTTGAGCAAGGGAGCTTGAGTCATCCACAGGCTCTTTTACCTGAAGGCATGGGTGTCATGAGTTCACTAGACCCAAGATAAATGACAAATGGGTGTTTTATTGGGGAACAACTTAGAACAATAACAAACCACCACAGTCCTTCTCTGTCCTTCTGACCTGATCCTTCCTCCGAGAGAGAGAGAGAGAGAGAGAGAGAGAGAGAGAGAGAGAGAGAGAGAGAGAGAGAGAGAGAGAAAGCCCATGCACAAGAGATCACAGGCCAGATGCTGATGCTGCCACATTTACCAGCCTGAGGTTGATTGATGGAGAAGCACCCACAGCTGGGGATTCTGAGGTCCTGCCTCTTGCTCCCTGGCCATCCCTGGCCTCTCACCTTTGCCTAACTTCCTGCCTACCTCCTCACTGCCTCTGTTTTCTTACTTCTCACCCCTTCTCTCAACTCTACAGCCTGATCTTTCTCCTCACACTTTGTGGCTGTTAAAAAGCAGTGAGTCAGAGAAGCTTGAGTTACCATAATTATCCTAAGAGAGGGCACAAAAAAGTGGTAGATAAAACTTGTCTGCCTAGGGCAGCCTTTGGAGTGTCCCCAAGAAACCCATCTTC